CATAACACAGATCAGTGGAAAAATATTAATTTTTAGTTTATGATTTTTTACTTTTCGTAACAGCTATTTTCATTGGAGTATGACAGGTGAGGCTCTGCCTCGCCTGCCTCCCCTGACCTCACGTCCCTGGTCCATACGGCGTACAGCCGTTTCGATACGGGCAAAAACATTTATAATTAAAATCAATGTCTATTTGTTTGTGTTTCTCGCTTATGATGGGGCTTTGTAGGATGAACGCTGAGATTTATAAGGGCCACGGGCGTGACCAACAAGGTCTGAATTGGTCTGTAACAAGGTAGGGGCACTGATAAAGGGGTTGACAGCTGTGGACAAAGGCGGCCGGGCATGGCGCTGCCCACACCCCCCCCCCCTAAGTAGGCGCTCGCCACCAGTAACAATGTCGTTCTGCAGCCTTTATCGATCCACCGCTAGATGCGTGCCTCCGCACAACAGGTATTCATTAGTCGATTGATGCGGACGCTGAAGGCCATGGAATGAACCGCAAAGGGGGAGGGAGACCTTAGCGGGGAATGCCTTGGCGGCGACACCATCAGAAACACCGCGGTGCCCGGAAAGATGTGGCCACTTCTTGAGCAATATTGGGCACCAGACAGAGGAAAGTGGAAACAAGTGATAACACGCGCAGTGGACACCTTACGGGCTACCTGCCCATGGATCGTGACGATGATGACGATACTCTTTGGCTCTATTCGGTAAAGTCACGTAGGTTAAAAATACAACAACAAAAATCACGACGTTTCGGCCACAACACAAGCGGCCTTCTATTCGGTAAAGTCACGTAGGTTAAAAATAAAACAACAAAAATCACGACGTTTCGGCCACAACACAAGCGGCCTTCATCAGGTGAAGGGATCAGGCTGTCTCGAGACATACTGAGATAGTAACAGGCACGCGCTAATTGCCCGTGCTCCATCCAGTTACTGAGGGGTTGCGCAATCAGAGGGGAGGCTGAGCTCGTCGCTGCCTCACCTCTCGTCTCTTCCTGCAGTATCTGCAGCGGAGCTCCGCAAATTTGGCGATGTTGACTCTAAAAGTGATTGGAATCGTACAGAAATGACATAACACGTTGATTTTTGTTGTTTTATTTTTTACCTACGTGACTTTACCGAATAGAACCAAAGAGTATGGATCCTTGCAGTCACGAAAGCTTCAAATATAGAGATGATGACGATGCTCGTGGCGTCTGTCATCTCGAACGCATTCCATCCCGAGGCTGCCGCTCTGTGTTGCTATTCTTGACCCGTGGGCCATCCATTGGGCCCTTCCGGCCGTGACGCCTCTTGCTCAAGCCACTTTTCTCAACGGTTTTTGTACAAATCTGCGAGTACTGCTCATAACTCAAGACTGCGAAAAACTGTAAATCAGGAAACAGTTTGATAATTAAATTCTCATCAGGCCCCATTGTATACAGAGTGCTGCCCCCAAATCGTATGCCCTCTACCTCTCTGGCCTCCCTATGGAGTGCCGCGGTTTGGAGATGTTAACTACCTCGCCTGGTACGCAGGAAGTCGTGGGTTCGATCCCGACCCTGACGATCCCTGCTGCTGCTGTATATTTGGAGTTTGCGTGTCTCTCTCTCATCATCACGGTGGCTAGGAGATGTTAACTACCTCGCTTGGTACGCAGGAGGTTGTGGGTTCGATCCCGACCCTGACGATGCCTGCTGCTGTATATTTGGAGTTTGCGTGTCTCTCTCATCATCATTACGGTGGCTAGGAGATGTTAACTACCTCGCCTGGTACGCAGGAGGTTGTGGGTTCGATCCCGACCTTGACGATGCCTGCTGCTGCTGCTGTATATTTGGAGTTTGCGTGTCTCTCTCTCTCGCTCTCCCGGTGGTCGCGTGAAGTTTCCTCCGGGTCCTCCAATTTGTGTTCCCTCCTCCACATTTAGAATCAACGTCACGCGTGCTTCAGAGTCACGTGGCTGCTATACATGTCCACGTGATAAGCCACTTCGTTGAGCTTGATAGCTCAGTGGGCCTCGCCTGGTACAAAAGTAAAGTATGTGCTATGAAGAAGGGCCATTGCCTGAAACGTTGCCGCTTATATATATTTGTTCCTCATGAGCCCACACACACAAACGGTGGTGGTGTTGTTATTACGATGGTGCCGAGTTGTTTGTGTACCCCTGCCAACACAGCGGCAGCAGATAATTTGTAGACCTCAAGAAATACGTTTCACAAGAAATGTATGTTTGTACGTTGAATTTCTTTCGCACCGTACGCGGGCAACCGCGCTAATCGGAGGTGCTGGGGAGAAGACAGCAAACTAAACACAATAAGCAGTTATAAAGAATTTAGTTTCCAATCTTGACTATTTAAAAGTCCACAGCCCCAGCGGTTTCCTAATATCGGAAGAGCGTTCAAGTCGGCCGCAGAAGAGCATCTGAAAGCCGCCGCCGCCGCCGCCGCCGCTGCTGCTGCTACGAGGGCGATCGGAGTTCGCGTGGTTGATGCTTTATGCTACTTGACGAGGTCGGCGAGGTGCTGCTTATGGCTCACTCGTGGCACCGCACTGGGCAAAAACGGTGAGCGATGATTACCCAATCGCGATCAGGCGTAGCAGCGACTCCCGCACCGCCGACTGCGAAAAACAGTGGGCAGGACCCTCCTGACAAAAGAGTCTTGAGACTCAGTGACGCTTTGCCTGGGTGAACAGAGATCTTAATAAACAAACAAACGTTTGCATGTTCACCGCAAGTAATGTGTGCGTGGTGAATGCAGCAACTTGATTCCTTGCAAGATGTTTCTATTCGGTGTTTGAACACTCTTAACACAACTCCTGTTTTTATTGCCAGGAAGGGTAAAATGCATACTCTTATTTTTCACACCGATAGTTATCATTTTCTTCAACGAGTTAACATCCTTGTAAAAAGGTTTCAGTTTTGTTGCCAGAAAAAAAGGGGACGAACATTATTATTATTATTATACTTTGGTACTGACGATGTGTGACGAGGGGGGGGGGGTGGTTTGAGAAATGTGACGTCACATCAAAACGCGCAACTTTAAATAAATATAGACAACACGATTTAAAGCTTTCGTGACTGCAATGATTCATTTTCTTTGGTTCTTTCGGTAAAGTCACGTAGAATGAGAATAAAATAATAAATTGATAAAATAAAATAACACAATAATATTCTCACGACGTTTCGGCCACAGTCTCGTCCCTTCACCTGATGAAGGCCGCTTGTGTTGTGGCCGAAACGTCGTGAGAATATTATTGTGTTATTTTATTTTATCAATTTATTATTTTATTCTCATTCTACGTGACTTTACCGAAAGAACCAAAGAAGATATAGACAACACGTTCTACTTAATTAAGTAGACTTTTTAATAAATGTTTTCTCCTACATCATCAGAGTGTAGCGCCACATTAAATACGCACTACAATGTTACAATAGTTTAAAGCGATTTGAAGCATGTTTGATTTTTTTGGGAGGGGGGGGGCAGAGCTTTGTGACGTCATATTTGAAGGGGGGGGGGGTGGTCTGACTTTTTGTGACGCCGTGTGACGAGGGGGGATCAAAAATCGTCCAAAATCGCGTGACGTCATTTATGGACTTCCCCCAACAACATTTGCTACAGGCCCCGCACCTCGCTTCATCCGGCACTGAATATGAGTCCTGCTCACGGCCACCAACAGCCCAGTGACGATTATCCGAACCGGTCCTGCGCCTCCCCTAGGTCGACTCAGCCTCAAACGAGTACCTGGTGTAGCGGTGTGTAGTTAACATCGCTAGCACTGGGGGAGACAAAGGCGGCCGGGCGCGGTGCTGGTCACCCACTTCCCTCACGTGCCGGCCCTCAGAGCTTGCTGCTCGCTAACGGCACTTGCTCCCATCGTCTGCCGAGGCTCCACGGGGGATCTTTGCCTGTGTATAGGGGGAGCGGTGGTGCAGCGGTTAGCGTAACGCGCAAGGATCCTACCAACTCAAATTCTATTCCCGGCCACGGCTCACATCAGTGGCGAGATGACATTTGAACCCCCCCCACCAAGCCCCCACCCCTGATCCCCCACCCTACCTCTCCCCACCCTTCTTCACACAAACCGCGCCGACCAGCGTGGTGAAGTATGGTTTAACAACACGAGCAGGCCAAGGCGTGTGTGGGGAGTGTGGGGAGGTGTGGGGAGGTGTGGGGGGTGTGGGGGGGGGGGTGAGGCCCTCATCCAGCAGTGGATTGAGGCTGCACATGCCCAGTGGGCTAACCACCTCCTCTGGGCAGCCACCTTCACCACAGTGGCTCTGGGTCTATTGTCAGCACCCGCAATTCAGTTCAGGCGCAGCAATGCCGCTACAAAGACACAGATTCCCCGTGTAGGCTGTAACAGACTAGGGGCAAGTGCCGCTAGCGAGTCGCAGCAGCGCCTATGAAGGCTACCGGCACTGTGGGTGGGTGGCCAACACCACGCCCGGCCGCCTTTGTCTCCCGAGTGCCGATGTTTTACTACGCACCGTGCCAGGTGCTCATTTGAGAGCTGAGTCGACCTAGGGGAGGGGCCCAGGTACCGGCTCAGACAATCGTCACCTGGGTGTCGGTGGCCGTGAGCGGGAATTGAACTCGGCTCGCCGGGTGGCGCCGACCGCGGCTGCACCGCCGCTCCCCGCGAGGTCTTCGTCACGAACGGATTGCCGCCATCCGACTCGGCCTCAGCAGGCGAGTGAACGAGTGCGGGGGGGGGGGGGGTCTGGGTTGGCGAGCGAGGGATTGAGCGGCTTGGAGAATGAACGAGTCCAATGAGTTTTTTGTGTGGCATCTACAACCTCCTTTCCCACCGTACGTCGTCAACCGTGATCATCGGACGTGGCCGAGTGGGCGAGCGGCTATGGATTTGACACCTTCCCAACCTCCTATAGACCCCCCGCCCCAAACCCGCCCTGAATTCTCAGTCTGCCCAGGTGGGGCGACCCCAGATCACACGACCCCCACAGTGCACAACACCCCCGCGACTCTCCTCCACCCGGCCCTCCGCGCTCACCTGGAGGTGTTGGTGACCTCCGCCTGCCCCCGCAGACGCCGCGCTCTGCCTGGGCGCGTGCTGGAGGCCGACCTCCTCGGCGACGGCCTTCTTCTTCGTCCCGTCCGGCCGGCCCGACGTCGCCTTGTCCACCGCCGCCCTCTTGCCGCGCCACCTTCCGTACGCGAGCGCCACCAGCGCCGCGGCGAGCAGCGCCGCCGCGACGGGCAGAACGACGTTGAGGTGGGGCATCTTCTCCTCCAGCCGTGCCAGGGGCGCCCGCATGGCCGGGTACTTGCTGGCCAGGTCGTGGAGGGCGTCCACGGCGTTGGGCACCATGAGTTCGACGCGGCCGCGCCAGGCGTCGAGCTGCGACGAGAGGGTCTCGGAGGCGCGCGACGCGGCCACCGACGCCTCCTCGGCGGCCGTCCTCAGCTTCAGCGCCGCCGCCTCCAGCGCCGGCTTGAGGTCGGCCTGGAGCTTGGCCGTCAGCTGCTGCAGGTTCGCCCGCAGGCCTTCGATTGCGGACATCGTGAGATCGCCGGGTGGTGGGGGGGGGGGGGGGATTGGGGTTGGTGAATCACGCAAGGCTGGAGGGGGTCTGCATCAGGCGTGGTGCGCGGGGCGAGGCGGCTGGTAGCGGGAGGTTGAGGGGTCGAACCCGGGCGGTTCAAAGTCCGCGGTTCACCGACTTGGCTTCGACGCTCTTGGGGAGGCTCGGGGCGCACGCGGTTCTTGTCGAGGTGGAGCGGAGAGACGGTGGGAGGATGGCGCTCGGCGTGTCGGTGCGACGGACCCACTTGCGCGCACGCACTGCCACGCCGCTGATTCGCTCGCCGTGGACTTGAGCTCGGCTGTGGGGAATGTTTTTTTTTGTGCTGAGAGTGAGAGATGGCAGCGAGAGAAGAGGAGGGAGAGACACGTGGGGTGGGGGTGTCTCGTGCTAGCGGAGGAGCTATTTTGTCTCGTGCCTGATGAACGAGGTGTGGGGGGTGGTGGTGGTGGGGGGGGTAATTCGAGGAGACGAGACTGGATTTGGGTCATGTCAGACGTGGACAGGGGGTGGTGGTGGCGGTGGTGGTGGCGGTGCAGAGGGGCGATGAAGGAGAGGCAGGAGATGGATCGAGAGGCATGAGAGAGGGAGATGATGGGATGGGAGAGAGACTGCAGTGGAGGAGGTGGAGGAGGTGGAGAAGCATCGAGATCTAGGAGAGCGGAGAAGTCTAATGTCGGGAGAAGATGTGAAATAACTATAGGAGTGTGTGTGGGTGTGTACGCGGGAGTAGGAGGTGGTGGTGGTGGTGGCTAGCAGGTAGACCTCACACTCGGATGGCTCAAAGTTCAAATCCAGCCCGGTGACTGACTCTGCCCATCATCCAGGGGGGTCGTTAAAATGAGTACCAACCCCTTGGCAAGCTGTGATTGGCGAGCATAGGGTGGTTGGGCAACCAAAATAACAAAATGAGCCAATTTTATGTTTTCAATTCGTTAAGAGCCCCCCCACCTCAATATTTATAGATACACAATGCATGTCAATTAAACATCACTATAAACAAGTCCTTAAAGATACACAATGCATGTCAATGTAACATAACTATAAACAAGTTCTTAAAGCTACACAATGCATGTCAATGAAACATCACTATAAACAAGTTCTTAAAGATACACAATGCATGTCATTGTGACGTCACTATAAGCAAGTCCTTATAGATACACAATGCATGCCATTGTGACGTCACTTTAAGCAAGTCCTTATAGATACACAATGCATGTCATTGTGACGTCACTATAAGCAAGTCCTTATAGATACACAATGCATGTCATTGTGACGTCACTATAAGCAAGTCCTTAAAGAGCCCAATGGGGCTGCTTCAGAGCCGCAAGTTCACGACCTTTGAGGTCTCTGGTGACCCCTGCGGCTCCAGATCCAAATCTGCCAGCAGGCGGCTCGATCCGCCTCTAGCCGAGTCACTCGGCACGGCAAAAACCCCGCCCGGGCAATCTCCCCGATGTTCGGTATTCGAAGCGAGGGGTTTGAGGTCAGTGCCGGATGAAGCTCGTGCGGGGCCTGTAGCATGCGATATAAACGGGGCCCGAACTAATAAAAAAAGAACGTAAATATTAAAACATCCATTTTTTTAAACTTGCATAGTAAAGAAATTGTATCTTTTTTCACTTGCTACACAGCCAGATAATACGACAAATCGCTAACCTCAAACACCCAGTCGTTCATAAAAGTTGAAGGCAGTATAGTACTATAGTAATAGATACACCGAGCCGGAATTGATAGCTTTAAAGCATTTAGCGCGGGGCCTTTGAAAGTGCGGGGCCCGTAGCATTTGATACTTTTGCTACTATCCACCGATTTTAACGCATCACAGATTCGCCCCCATTGCTTCCTCTCATGTACAGGATGCTTAAAATTTCGTAACAAATTTGCAACTATAACCCAACGACAAAGGAAATCAAATGGCACTCACCTGGTTTAAAGAAAAAACTGCGGTATTTTAACATTTTTCTAAATTATACCAGGTAAGGCCCACTGAGCTATGTAGCTCATTTTAAGAAGCGACATGGATCACAAATGATATCAGCTCAACAAAGTGGCTCATCACGTGGAAATGTATCAATAATACATATATGGATGATATTGGTCGCGAAAGCCTACGTGTTAAACCACGTGTTCAGCCACCGTGACGATGATGAGAGGGAGACACGCAGACTCCAACTGTACAGCAGCAGGCGTCAGGGTCGGGATTGAACCCACGACCTCCTGTATACCAGGTGAGGGAGTTAACATCTCCTAGCCACCGTGATGATGATGAGAGAGAGACACGCAGACTCCAAATATACAGCAGGCGTCAGAGTCGGGATCGAACCCACGACCTCCTGTAGACCAGGCGAGGGAGTTAACATCGCCACCGGTGTTGTGCCGTGAGCGGGAATCGATCTCGGGCCGCCGGGTCAGTAGTGCGGCGCGCTAATCACTACTACACCACCGCTTCCCACACACAGACACACACACACGTACACACACATGTACACGCTCCTCTGGCTGGAACCGGACACCACCGACACCACCGCCGCCGCCCTCTCTCAGCCTCCAACATCAGCGGAACCTGACACCGACGCATACGCGGCATTCACACGGCGCAGGCCGGCCCTGCTTTAGCAGCGCTGGGCTCCGTGTCTCCGACATGGCCATTATGACCCCCCCCCCTCCCCAGGGTGCGAGAGCGACACGCAAATGCCACGTTAAAGTCTCTGACACGGCCCTGGTGAGCATCTTTTGTGAGGCGACCACAGGCGAGTTTCTCAGCGGCGGTGGCCACGCGTCTCCAACACGGCCGTTGTGACCTCCCACGGTGTGACCTCTGTTGTGACCTCCCACGGTGTGACCTCCGTTGTGACCTCCCACGGTGTGACCTCCCACGGTGTGACCTCCCACAGTGTGACCTCTGTTGTGACCTCCCACGGTGTGACCTCCGTTGTGACCTCCCATGGTGACCTCCCACGGTGTGACCTCCCACAGTGACCTCCCACGGTGTGACCTCCCACAGCGAGAGATCCAGACCCCGGGACCGAAACCCACGGTTTCACGTTTTCTGAATACAATCTTTGTGAACCTCGCTAACATTCATAAAGAACCTGGGTGTGCCGGTCATCTCAGGCAGCCGACCCATGGCACCTGGAATCTGCATCCCCTGTCCTGCCAGCAGCGAGATTTCCACACATAACGTGGTCTCAAGGTGCACCTAGCCTGGCACAAGCGCTGTGGTGACATGAACGCCAATTCGTGACAAATGGCGGCCGGTGCTATACGTATGGTGTGAAAGAAATTCAGCATACAGTGAGGGAAAAACGTATTTGATCCCCTGCTGATTTTGTACGTTTGCCCACTGACAAAGAAATGATTAGTCTATAATTTTAATGGTAGGTTTATTTGAACAGTGAGACACAGAATAACAAAAAAATCCAGAAAAACGCATGTCAAAAATGTTATAAATTGATTTGCATTTTAATGAGGGAAATAAGTATTTGACCCCCTCTCAATCAGAAAGATTTCTGGCTCCCAGGTGTCTTTTACACAGTTAATGAGCTGAGATTAGGAGCACACTCTTAAAGCGAGTGCTCCTAATCTCAGCTTGTTACCTGTATAAAAGACACCTATCCAAAGAAGCAATCAATCAGATTCCAAACTTTCTACCATGGCCAAGACCAAAACGCTCTCCAAGGATGTCAGGGACAATATTGTAGACCTACACAAGGCTGGAATGGGCTACAAGACCATTGCCAAGCAGCTTGGTGAGAAGGTGATAAGAGTATGCGATTATTCGCAAATGGAAGAAACACAAAATAACTGTCAATCTCCCGCGGCCTGGGGCTCCATGCAAGATCTCACCTCGTGGAGTTGCAATGATCATGAGAACGGTGAAGAATCAGCCCAGAATTACACGGGAGGATCTTGTCAATGATCTCAAGGCAGCTGGGACCATAGTCACCAAGAAAACAATTGGTAACACACTATGCCGTGAAGGACTGAAATCCTGCAGCACCCGCAAGGTGCCCCTGCTCAAGAAAGCACATATGCATTCCCGTCTGAAGTTTGCCAATGAACATCTGAATGATTCAGAGGACAACTGGGTGAAAGTGTTGTGGTCAGATGCTTTGAAATTGGGTCCATTGCTTTCGAACTCCCTGCATGTGATGCATTTTCTTTGAAACCGATTGGTCTACACCAGTGACAGTCTTCTTCATGGCATCGTCTCGCCAGTGTCAATGAATAAACAGGGTCCTTAAAACAATGAATAAACAGGGTCCTTAAAACAATGAATAAAAAGGGTCCTTAAAACAATGAATAAACAGGGTCCATAAAACAATGAATAAACAGAGTCCATAAAACAATGAATAAACAGGGCCCTTAAAACAATGAATAAACAGGGCCCTTAAAACAATGAATAAACAGGGTCCTTAAAACAATGAATAAACAGGGCCCTTAAAACAATGAATAAACAGGGCCCTTAAAACAATGAATAAACAGGGCCCTTAAAACAATGAATAAACAGGGCCCTTAAAACAATGAATAAACAGGGTCCTTAAAACAATGAATAAACAGGGCCCTTAAAACAATGAATAATCAGGGTCCTTAAAACAATGAATAAACAGGGTCCTTAAAACAATGAATAAACAGGGTCCTTAAAACAATGTGCTGCTGCCTCCGGGCTCTGGAGACAACCGAGAGAAGATTCCAGGCACGCGTTGACACGGATTGCGAATAATTGGAGATTCTTTGACGTTTTGAAGCTATTATCATACATCTGTTATGTTATTATCCGTTATTTTTCCTTAATAACGATAGCCCCATGTCAGTGTTAACATTTTTTTAATCACCCTGTATTATTAGTTTATTTGCATGTTCACAAGGACTGTGTGGTTAATGCTGTACTTGATTCCTTGTAGAAGGTGCCTATTTAGTGTTTGAACATCTTCACACAACTCCTACTTTATTGCCAGAAAGGGTAAAAAAAAACCATTGTTATTTTCGTATTTTGATGGCGCCAAATAAAGTCCCCACGATGTAAAGAAAGACACTGGCATGAACACAGACAAAGTGAAGCAACCTGTGCATTTAATCTCAAAGACACAAAGAACACCACCCCCACATGGAGGACACAACTCCTGATAAGTGACATAATGTGTGTGCGTGGGGAGCGGTGGTGTAGTGGTCAGCGCTACGCTGCGCTATGAACCCGGCGACCCGGGTTCGATTCCTGCTCACGGCCAACACCGGTGACGATTATCTGAACCGGTTCCTGGGCCTCCCCCTAGGTCGACTCAGCGGCCGGGCATGGTGCTGGCCACCCACCCCCTCGTGTACCGTGCCGGCCTTCATAGGTGCTCACTAACAGCACTTGCCCCTACAGTCTGTTACAGGCTACACGGGGGATCTTTATATTTGGTGTAGTGGTTAGCACCCTGCAATTTACAAACCCCGTGACCCAATTTCGACTCCCGGCCACGGCTAACATCAGCGGAGGGGAGAGAGATGGTTTTTTTTGCATCAATTTGAAAAATAAAAAAGTCCAGGCCTAGATAAGAAAAAATAAAAACTTTGGGACCATCCCAGATGATTTTTTTGTGGATGGACGGCCATAAAAAATACGTGGCATGAAGTGACAACGCTTTACACGTTGTGGCCACCAGTTTTCCCGCCAAAAATGAGGCCAACTGATATCGCGTCTGTATACACTTTGTGTCCGCACGAGGTGGTTTCACATTCGTAAGATAATATGAAAACGATCCGAAATTGTCGTGAATCGGATTTAGATGTAACCGAAACTCCTCTCTCGTGCAGACACAATATCTCAAGCATGGCCTGGGCCTCCCCTAGGGCAACTCGGCCTTAAAAAAAATATCCCAGTACGGTTGTATAGACATCGTCAATGGAGACACAAACATACCGTGCCAACCCGTACACGGTTCAGCCCGTATTCTTGTGCAGCGCGTTTTGAATCGACGGGAGCAAAGTTGGACTTGCGAACAAATCGACTTATGAACAGACCTCTGGGGAACTGAACTCGTTCGTGAGTAGAGTCCCTGCATCAGTTCAGGCACCTTCACACGGTGTTCTGGATCTCAACGGGGCCTCACTCGGTTAAACAAAGGACGTGAATCTCAATGGGTCCTTGACTGGCAATTGAGAGAGATTTTTTTGGGAGTTAACGTGTTCTCATCCGGTTAAATAAAGATAAATTTTAACGGAGTGTAACATTTTGAATATAAAATATAAATTTTGGTGTAAATTGTTAGGTAGAAATGTAACATGAATACAGATGTACAATCAGACGCACGTATAAACATACAGATACGTATGCACCCCCACGCAAAACACTCACTCAAAGGAGGCAGACATACACACACACACAAAACAAGATCTCCTGCATAGCATACACAGGCTGTTGTGGCAACTGCTGTTAGTGAGCATCTATTAAGGCTGGCACGGCACACGAGGGGTTGGTGCGATTCACACACACACACACACCGATGCACAGACACGCACAAATACAGTGACACTCACCCCGACACACACACACACACAATGACACGAACCCCCGACACAGACTCACACACACAGTGGCACGTGCACCTTGACCCACAGACTCGCACACTTACAAAAATAAAGATTTCCCGTTTTGGCCTAAAAAGACTGTTGGGGCAAGTGCTGTTAGCGAGCAGCACCTATGAAGGCCGGCGCGGCACACAAGGGGGTGGGTGGCTGAGTATATATCTATGTAGAACTTCTTTCCCACCGTACGTAGCCAACTGTGCGTGGTTCTGACACCCCCACCCTCACACAGATTCACACACACACAAACCCCCACCCACACACACAGATTCACACTCACCCCGACACACGCTTGCACACACACACCATGACACACAGACCAGAATCACACGCACACACATTCACGCTCACACACAGGACACACGCGCTCACACACACTCACCCTGACACATACACACACTCACCCTGACTCACACGCACACAGACTCACAGACACACACACACACTCACCCTGACTCACACGCACACACAGACTCACACACACTCGCACACACTCACCCTGACACACACTCACACACTCACCCTGACCCACACACTCACACGTGTGCGCACGCGGTAGGAGGGGGTTTCAACTGAGCGAGTTTCTCCGCGCGTAGTTCCGGGAGGGAGAGTAGCCGTGGCCTCCATCCGTCAGCCTTGCCGGCGGGCGACGTTCACCCGCGGAGTCCCTGTAGGCACGGCGGTCGCCATCGTCAGCACCAGCGGCATCACTCCCATCAGCATCAGCAGCAGCACCATCAGCATAGTCATCAGCAGCAGCAGCATCATCATCATCATACTCATCGTCAGCAGCAGCATCATCAGCGCAGTCATCGTCAGCAGCAGCAGCATCATCATCAGCACAGTCATCATCAGCACAGTCATCATCAGCAGCAGCATTATCAGCATAGTCATTGTCAGCACCAGCGGCATCACTCCCATCCACAGCACCAGCAGCATCATCATCATCAGCATAGTCATCATCAGCATGAGCAGCCCTCCCATCAGCACCAGCATCATCATTAGCATAGTCATCATCAGCACCACGGCATCACTCCCATCCACAGCATCAGCAGCATCATCACCATCAGCAGTCATCATCAGCACCAGCATCATCATCATCAGAATAGTCATCATCAGCATGAGCAGCATCACACTCCCATCAGCACCAACGGAAAAAGTATCGGCAGCATCATCACCATAGTCGTCATCATCAGCAGACTTATCATCATCATGAGCAGCAGCAGCATCACTCCCATCCACAGCATCGGCAACAATATCAGCAGGTTCATCATCGGCAGGTTCATCACGAGCAGGTTCATCACGGGCAGGTTCATCACGAGCAGGTTCATCACGAGCAGGTTCATCACCGGCAGGTTCATCACCGGCAGGTTCATCACCGGCAGGTTCATCACCGGCAGGTTCATCACCGGCAGGTTCATCACGAGCAGGTTCATCACCAGCAGGTTCATCACCAGCAGGTTCATCACCAGCAGGTTCATCACCAGCAGGTTCATCACGAGCAGGTTCATCACGAGCAGGTTCATCACGAGCAGGTTCATCACGAGCAGGTTCATCACAAGTAGGTTCATCACGAGCAGGTTCATCACGAGCAGGTTCATCACGAGCAGGTTCATCACGAGCAGGTTCATCACGAGCAGGTTCATCACCAGCAGGTTCATCACCAGCAGGTTCATCACGAGCAGGTTCATCACAAGCAACAGCGTAGGATTATCATAATCAGCTGCGGCATCATTGGCGGCACCATCAGCAGCACGTTTATCAAAATCCGCATCGTCGCCACCGACATTATCGTTACCGGCATCATCACAAGTATCATCAGTAGCATAAATCACCACCACCACCATCATCATCAAGTCATCATTCCGAATTTCCCCCACGCCGCACGTGGGCACGTCACGGTGGGGGGGGGGGGGGCGGGGTCTGTGCCGTGTGTATCGGCGCGCTCAGACGGTACCGCGAGAGGAGCAGCGAGGCGACGAGGAGGATGGGAGCGAAGGCGAGCGTCAGGCCCAGAGCCAGCGCGCCGAGGCCCGAGAGGAAGAGGAGCAGGACGGAGACTCCCAGCGACAGGACGCACACTGGCGGAGACAAAGATCCCCCGCACCGTTGGGGCGAGCGGCGCCCGAGCAGGCCGGCGAACGGCGCGCCGCACGACGGGGGGGGGGGGGTTTGGCCGCACCACACCCGGCCGCCTTTGTCTCTCTCCCCAGTGGCGATGTTTACTGCACACCGCGCCGGGTCCTCATTCGAGGTCGAGTCGACCCAGGGGAGGCCCAGAGCCGGTTCAGATGATCGTCATCGGCGCTGGAATCCAACTCGGGTCGCCCGATTCGTAGCGCGGCACGCTAACTGCCGAGCCACCGCTCCCCACGAAGATGCCCCCTGTAGCCTTGAATAGACTGTTGGGGCCTGTAGGCTTGAACAGACTGTTGGGGCCTGTAGGCTTGAACAGACTGTTGGGGCAAGTGCTGTGAAGGAGTAGCGCCTATGAAGGCCGGCATGGCACACGAGGGAGTGGGTGGCCAGCACACACACACACACACGTGTGTACGTGTAAAGGACGCTGCTACTGGGCAAGGTGGAGGCAGTCACTCTCCATCAACAACGGAGGGCGGAGGAGCGATGCTCACAACAACGAGCGGAGTGCCGGGTGGCTAAAACACAGCAGGTTGGCACAGTAGGGGGCACAGGTGGTGCATCAGCCAGTCATCTCAGTCATCTTAGTCAGTCGACCTGTGGCACCTGCTGGGTCTGCCCCGTGACCTGCCAGCGGGCGTTCGACACTTCATGTGGCCTCAGCGTGCACATGGCCTGGCACAAGCGTCGTGGTGACGTCACCGCCACTTAGTGGCGAATGGCGGCTGTTGTTGTGGGTGCGTGTGGATGCGCGTGCGTGAGTGTGCGTACACGTGCGAGTGTGAGTGTGCGTACACGTGTGAGTGTGCATACACGTGCGAGTGTGAGTACACGTGCGAGTGTGCGTACACGTGCGAGTGCGCGTGCGAGTGTGCGTACACGTGCGAGCGTGAGTACACGTGCGAGTGCGAGTGCGCGTACAAGTGTGAGTGTGCGTACACGTGCGAGTGTGAGTGTGCGTACACGTGAGTGTGCGTACACGTGCGAGTGTGAGTGTGTGTACACGTGTGAGTGTGCGTACCCTGCAGCAGGATGAACCCGACGGTGGAGAGGGCGAGGTAGAAGGCGACGGCGCCGAGGAAGAGCAGCACGGGCGGAGCGGAGAGGATGAGGAGGAGCAGCGCGAAGATCGCCAGCAGCGGGTGGGACTCCACACAGCGGCCCAGCACGGAGCTCGCCCAGCGCACCACCTGCACGGCACACACACACACACACAGTGTACACGCGCCCACACACACACACACACAGTGTACACGCGCGCACGCACACACACACAGTGTACACGCGCGCACACACACACACAGTGTACACGCGCGCACACACACACACAGTGTACACGCGCGCACACACACACACACACAGTGTACACGCGCGCACACACACACACACACAGTGTACACGCGCGCACACACACACACACACAGTGTACACGCGCACACACACACAGTGTACACGCGCGCACGCACACACACACACACAGTGTACACGCACGCGCACACACACACACACAGTGTACACGCGCGCACACACACACACACACACAGTGTACACGCGCGCACGCACACACACACAGTGTACACGCGCGCACACACACACACAGTGTACACGCGCGCACACACACACACAGTGTACACGCGCGCACACACACACACACACAGTGTACACGCGCGCACACACACACACACACAGTGTACACGCGCGCACACACACACACACACAGTGTACACGCGCACACACACACAGTGTACACGCGCGCACGCACACACACACACACAGTGTACACGCACGCGCACACACACACAGTGTACACACACACAGTGTACACACACACAGTGTACACACACACAGTGTACACACACACAGTGTACACACACACAGTGTACACACACACAGTGTACACACACACAGTGTACACACACACAGTGTACACACACACAGTGTACACACACACACACACTGTACACACACACACTGTATACACACACACACACACAGTGTACACACACACACACAGTGTACACACACACACACAGTGTACACACACACACACACACAGTGTACACACACACACACAGTGTACACACACACACACAGTGTACACACACACAGTGTACACACACACAGTGTACACACACACACACACAGTGTACACACACACACACAGTGTACACACACAGTGTACACACACAGTGTACACGCACACAGTGTACACGCACACGCGCGCACACGCACACGCGCGCACAGTGTACACGCACACGCAGTGTACACGCACACGCAGTGTACACGCACACGCGCGCACAGTGTACACGCACGCACACAGTGTACACAGTGTGCACGCGCACAGTGTGCAAGCGCACAGTGTGCACGCGCGCAGTGAGCACGCGCGCAGTGAGCACGCGCGCAGTGAGCACGCACACACACACAGTGTGCACGCACACACACACAGTGTGCACGCACACACACACAGTGTGCACGCACACACACACAGTGTGCACGCACACACACACAGTGTGCACGCACACACACACAGTGTGCACGCACACACACACAGTGTGCACGCACACACACACAGTGTGCACGCACACACACACAGTGTGCACGCACACACACACAGTGTACACGCACACACACACAGTGTACACGCACACACACACAGTGTACACGCACACACACACAGTGTACACGCACACACACACACAGTGTACACGCACACACACACACAGTGTACACGCACACACACACACAGTGTACACACACACACACACATGGTACACACACACACACACAGTGTACACACACACACACACAGTGTACACACACACACACACAGTGTACACACACACACACACAGTGTACACACACACACGCGCACAGTGTACACACACACGCACACAGTGTACACACACACAGTGCACACACACACACACAGTGTATACACACACACACAGTGTACACACACACAGTGTACACACACACAGTGTACACACACACAGTGTACACACACACAGTGTACACACACACACACACAGTGTACACACACACAGTGCACACACACACGCGCACAGTGTACACACACAGTGCACACACACACACAGTGTACACACACAGTGCACACACACACACAGTGTACACACACAGTGTACACACACAGTGTACACACACAGTGCACACACACAGTGCACACACACAGTGTACACACACAGTGTACACGTACACACACAGTGTACACGTACACACAGTGTACACACACACAGTGTACACACACACACAGTGTACACACACACAGTGTACACGTATACACACACACAGTGTACACGTATACACACACACAGTGTACACACACACACACAGTGTACACACACACAGTGTACACACACACAGTGTACACACACACACAGTGTACACACACACACACACAGTGTACACACACACACACAGTGTACACACACACACACAGTGTACACACACAGTGTACACGCACACAGTGTACACGCACACGCGCGCACACGCACACGCGCGCACAGTGTACACGCACAGGCAGTGTACACGCACACGCAGTGTACACGCACACGCGCGCACAGTGTACACGCACGCACACAGTGTACACAGTGTGCACGCGCACAGTGTGCAAGCGCGCAGTGTGCACGCGCGCAGTGAGCACGCGCGCAGTGAGCACGCACACACACACAGTGTGCACGCACACACACACAGTGTGCACGCACACACACACAGTGTGCACGCACACACACACAGTGTACACGCACACACACACAGTGTGCACGCACACACACACAGTGTACACGCACACACACACAGTGTACACGCACACACACACACAGTGTACACGCACACACACACACAGTGTACACGCACACACACACACACAGTGTACACACACACACACACAGTGTACACACACACACACACAGTGTACACACACACACACACAGTGTACACACACACACACACAGTGTACACACACACACGCGCACAGTGTACACACACACGCGCACAGTGTACACACACACAGTGCACACACACACACAGTGTATACACACACACACAGTGTACACACACACAGTGTACACACACACACACACAGTGTACACACACACACAGTGTACACACACACACACAGTGTACACACACACAGTGTACACACACACAGTGCACACACACACGCGCACAGTGTACACACACAGTGCACACACACACACAGTGTACACACACAGTGCACACACACACAGTGTACACACACAGTGTACACACACAGTGTACACACACAGTGTACACACACAGTGCACACACACAGTGCACACACACAGTGTACACACACAGTGTACACACACAGTGTACACACACAGTGTACACGTACACACACAGTGTACACGTACACACAGTGTACACGTACACACAGTGTACACACACACAGTGTACACGTATACACACACACAGTGTACACGTATACACACACACAGTGTACACGTATACACACACACAGTGTACACACACACAGTGTACACACACACACACAGTGTACACACACACACAGTGTACACACACACACACAGTGTACACTGTGTGCACGCACACAGTGTGCACGCACACAGTGTGCACGCACACAGTGTGCAGGCACGCACACAGTGTGCACGCACACAGTGTGCAGGCACGCACACAGTGTGCAGGCACGCACACTGTGCAGGCACACACACACACACAGTGTGCACGCACACACACACACAGTGTGCACGCACACACACACAGTGTACACACACACACACAGTGTACACACACACACACAGTGTACACACACACACACAGTGTACACACACACACACAGTGTACACACACACGCACAGTGTACACACACACGCACAGTGTACACACACACACGCACAGTGTACACACACACACAGTGTACACACACACACAGTGTACACACACACACAGTGTACACGTATACACACACAGTGTACACACACAGTGTACACGTATACACACACACACAGTGTACACACACAGTGTACACACACACACACACAGTGTACAGGTGTACACGTACACACACAGTGTACAGGTGTACACGTGTACACACACAGTGTACACGTGTACACACACAGTGTACACGTATACACACACACACAGTGTACACGTATACACACACACAGTGTACACGTATACACACACACAGTGTACACGTATACACACACAGTGTACACACACACACACACAGTGTACACACACACACACAGTGTACACACACACACAGTGTACACACACACACACACAGTGTACACACACACAGTGTACACACACACAGTGTACACACACACACAGTGTACACACACAGTGTACACACACAGTGTACACACACACGCGCACAGTGTACACACACAGTGTACACACACACGCGCACAGTGTACACGTATACACACACACACGCGCACAGTGTACACACAGTGTACACGTATACACACACACGCGCACAGTGTACATACACAGTGTACACGCGCGCATAGTGTACACGCACACGCAGTGTACACGCACACGCGCGCACAATGTACACGCACGCACACAGTGTACACTGTGTACACGCACACAGTGTGAACGCACAGTGTGAATGCACACAGTGTGCACGCACAGTGTACACACACACACAGTGTACACACACACAGTGTACACACACACACAGTGTACACACACACACACACAGTGTACACACACACACACACAGTGTACACACACACACACAGTGTACACACACACACACAGTGTACACACACACACACAGTGTACACACACACACAGTGTACATACACACACACAGTGTACACACACACACACAGTGTACACACACACACGCACACACACAGTGCACACGCACACACAGTGCACACGCACACACAGTGCACACACACACACAGTGTACACACACACAGTGTACACACACACACAGTGTACACGCACACACAGTGTACACACACACACAGTGTACACGTACACACAGTGTACACACACACACAGTGTACACGTACACACAGTGTACACACACACACAGTGTACACACACAGTGTACACACACACACAGTGTACACACACACACACAGTGTACACACACACACAGTGTACACACACACACACAGTGTACACGTGTACACACACACACACAGTGTACACACACACACACAGTGTACACACACACACACACAGTGTACACACACACAGTGTACACACACACAGTGTACACGTGTACACACACACACACACAGTGTACACGTGTACACACACACACACACAGTGTACACGTGTACACACACACACACACAGTGTACACGTGTACACACACACACACAGTGTACACGTGTACACACACACTCACACAGTGTACACGTGTACACACACACAGTGTTCACGTGTACACACACACACAGTGTACACACGTACACACACACAGTGTACACACACACACACAGTGTACACGTGGACACACACACAGTGTACACGTGTACACACACACAGTGTACACGTGCACACACACACAGTGTACACGTGTACACACACACTCACACAGTGTACACGTGTACACACACACAGTGTTCACGTGTACACACACACACAGTGTACACACGTACACACACACAGTGTACACACACACACACACACAGTGTACACGTGGACACACACACAGTGTACACGTGTACACACACACAGTGTACACGTACACACACACAGTGTACACGTACACACACACAGTGTACACGTACACACACAGTGTACACAGTGTACACGTACACACACAGTGTACACACACAGTGTACACACACACACACAGTGTACACACACAGTGTACACACACACACAGTGTACACACACACGCGCACAGTGTACACACACAGTGTACACACACACACACGCGCACAGTGTACACAGTGTACACACACACGCGCACAGTGTACACAGTGTACACACACACGCGCACAGTGTACACACACAGTGTACACACACACGCGCACAGTGTACACACACAGTGTACACACACACGCGCACAGTGTACACACACAGTGTACACACACACGCGCACAGTGTACACACACAGTGTACACACACACGCGCACAGTGTACACGTATACACACACACGCACAGTGTACACACACAGTGTACACGTATACACACACACACGCGCACAGTGTACACACAGTGTACAGGTATACACACACACACGCGCACAGTGTACACACACAGTGTACACGCACACACAGTGTACACGCACACGCGCGCACAGTGTACACGCACACGCAGTGTACACGCACACGCAGTGTACACGCACACGCGCGCAGTGTACACGCACGCACACAGTGTACACTGTGTACACGCACACAGTGTGAATGCACACAGTGTGAATGCACACAGTGTGCACGCACAGTGTACACACACACAGTGTACACGCACACACACCATATACACGCACACCGTGTACACACACCGTGGCCCAGCGCACCACGCAAATGAGCTATGAGGCTCGTCACCCGTTTATGGAAACTCCACATTCCTAAGCGGTTGGCAAATCTATCCATCGGGAAAACCACCGGCGACTTCTCGACAAAGTGGTCCTCACTTTACCGACACCGGAGGGATCATGATGGTGATGGGCCGAGTCAACCCCCGACCAACCAGGATCCGAACTCGCGTCCCTCCCATTGCGAGCCATCCGACCGCTCCACTGTCGAGCCACCTTGACCCAGGGGAGGGGAGCCTAAAATGCGATGACGTCGAGTTGTGCAATCCCGACCAACTAAGAACCTCCCCCGCCGCCCCGTAGCGCGAGGGGTCCCCGCCCGCGAGACCGCCCGCTCGCCGGCCGGACCCTGCCAAGCGCGCTCAAATTTCGCTCTCCCAAAACGCCGTGCGGCCGACGGCTTCGCGTAAAGCGCGGAATTTTTTGGGTTTTTTTTTTTTTGCCGCCGCGGAGAGACGGACGCCCGGGAGGTGGACGGACCGACGGAGCCGCCTGCCCGCTCATTTCGTTCGGGCGGCAGCGAGGCGACGCTCTAAACGTCGGCGCTACGCGGGACGCACGCCGGGTGAGGGGGTGGAGGGGGGGGGACTTCACGCGCAACGGACCGGCCGGGAATGAAGCGGCGGTGGACGCTCGGGGAGTTATTAATGGAACATCGCCGTGCCGGCCCCGGGGAGGGGGTGGGGAGGGACGGGTGGCCACGAGAGGGGGGGGGGGGGGGGGGGTGCCGTGGAATGTTGCCATCGACGGCGGCGGGGAACACGAGCAGGGAGCTGCGCTTTTAGTTTGCGGGGACGCGGTAGGAACGGCGACGTCACAGAAGCTGTGGGGAGGTGGGGGGGGGGGGGCAGCAGCAGCAGCCAGCTGCTCCCGCCCCCCCCCCCCCCCCGCCGCGCCACCGCCGCGCACGGAGTCACGAGAATCCACCGGCTCGCAAGCGGAAGGTTGGGAGATAAAATCGTGGTCGGTTGGGGTCGACTCGACCCATCAACATCATCATCGTCTCTCACTCCCCTCCCTCTCTCCGGGGTTGATTAAATGGGCACCGTTTTGTGGGGAAGTAAATCCCCAACGGATCTACTTGGCCCCGCCACAGGAATGCGAATTTTTCCACCACTGGCTCAGGGCTTCGAACGGAAGACGAGCACCGATGGCTCGGTGCTCACACCGCCGTGTCGGTGATTGATAAACTGAAGGAATATATAGAAATAGGTTTTACCCTTTTAACTGGCACAAAAACTGACACCTTTATTCAAGGCATCATGTTTGCAATAACCACAACACAAGCAGTCAAAATGCAAACAAAAAAGACAACTCTGATAATAATATTGGCAACGTCCTTGAATTTGATTGGTCCACACCCGAGACAGCTTTTCTTAGAGCCTAGTCTCCACTGGTGTCGGACCAGAAGACGCCAAAAGGCGTACGACTCAAAAACAGCACACTATCAGAGTATTGAGGGCTCGGGGTGAGCATTTACATTATAAGACCTCCAATGCCAGTAACAAGATATAGAAATAGGTTTTACCCTTTTAACTGGCACAAAAACTGACACCTTTATTCAAGGCATAATCTCATATGGTTCTTTCGGTAAAGACTTTACCGAAAGAACCAAAGAAGATGAATCCTTGCAGTCACGAAAGCTTTAAATCGAAATTCAAGGCATCATGTTTGCAATAACCACAACACAAGCAGCCAAAATGCAAACAAAACAGTCAACTCTGATAATAATATGCATTGTCCTTGAATTTGATTGGTCCACACCCGAGACGGCTTTTCTTAGAGCCTAGTCTCCACTGGTGTCGGACCAGAAGACGCCAAAAGGCGTACAGAAGGAATATAATTTTGAATGGCACGTGAATAAATGTCCAAATTTAATATAGTTGGCTACGTACGGTTTGAAAGAAGTTCGTCGTGCATACAGAACACATAGCAATCGTCGCTGCCCTACCGGAAAACTAATGCCCACTTGCAGGCCAGCACCGCATAAAACCTCGTCACCGCTCATGGACAGCTGCCACCGAGGGTGGCCTTGGCTAGGCTGTAGCAGGGCGCTGGAACGGTGCTGCCCATTGCGCAAACCCGCTGCGTTTTAGCCGCCCGGCGCTCCGCTCGTTGTTGTGAGCGTCGCTCCTCTGCCCTCCGCGGTTGCTGGAGGGCGACTTCCTCCAACTGCCCGACAGCGAACTTCACGCGCCTCGGCAGAGGCCGATGTCGACACCGCTGGTACCGGTCATTGGCAAGTCCAATCACACATTGGACTTGCCAATGACCGCGCACACACACGCACACACGTACACGCGCACACACACACGCACAGACACGTACACATGCACACCCGCGTGCACACACACACGTACACGCGCGCGCACACACACACGTACACGCGCGCACACACACGTATACACACGTACACGCGTGCACACACCGACCATGGCCACGCACCACTGGGTTGGTGTTCACATCGTGCAGCAGCTGTTGAATTCGGTCGGATACGTCGGAGGATTTGACGCCTCGGTCCTTCCCGGGGTCCATGCTGCCACGCGATGTCCGACGGCCACGGCCACAGCACGGGCAGGGACGGCGACGGCGGCGGCGGTTCGCTCTGTAACGGGCGACAGGAAACGGCCGATACGTCAAGTCTATCCACTGCTGGATGAGAACCTCCCGCACACGGCGTGGGTTACGTCCGGCTGTACTTCACCGCACACGGCGTGGGTTACGTCTGGCTGTACTTCACCACACACGGCGTGGGTTACGTCTGGCTGTACTTCACCACACACGGCGTGGGTTACGTCTGGCTGTACTTCACCACACACGGCGTGGGTTACGTCTGGCTGTACTTCACCGCACACGGCGTGGGTTACGTCTGGCTGTACTTCACCACACACGGCGTGAGTTGCGTCTGGCTGTATGTCACCACACACGGCGTGGGTTACGTCTGGCTGTACTTCACCGTGCCGGTCCTGCGGGTTGGTGAAGCCGGGGAGCACAAGCACGGGGGTATAGAAGTAGAGCGCAACCAATTCTGCCTCCGACCATCCAGGCTCCAACCTGCTTAGCTTCTGAGATCGGACGAGACGGAGCGAGCGCCGGGAGAATTGGTCAAAGGCGTAACGACAAAATAATACTACAAATAATAATAACCACCACCTCCACCATCATCATCATCAAATAGAATCAGCAGCTCAATCACGATCTTCATACCGGAGCACGAGTACCATCTGAAACATTGATGGTATCACAAACATTAAAGCCATCATCGCTTTTCCAAGCTTCACGACCACCACCAACCACCAACCACGCAAACATTTTGACTTAGAACTTTGTGACTGCAGGAATTCATATTCCTTGGTTCTTTGGGTAAAGTCACAAAGATAGAAAATAATAAAATAGAAATAAAAATAATAAAATGAAGAAAAAATTATTCGGCGACCTGATCGAAACGGCATGAATTTGTGTGTTTTTACTAATTTTTGTATTTTATTATTTTATTCTATCTACGTGACTTTACCCAAAGAACCAAAGACTTTGAACCACATCAACGTTGAAGTCTCATCGTGTGGTTCGTCGCTGGACACATCCGTAAGGAGGAAAACAATAAATACATAAAGAGCTTCATAGCTAATCGGATTTCCTCCGGTAATAAATCCTCTCTTGAAGCCTTCCTCGTTGCGAATTGCCCCGGGAGGTTTCCCGTCGTGCTGAGTGAAGGCGACCTCGCAAAACCTCGTCCCGTTCACGAGCACCCAGAAGCGACTCGAGCAGCCAGACTCCTGGGGAGGGGGGTCCACCCCCCCCCCCCCCCCCCAGGGGGGGTCTACCACCCCCCAGGGGTGAATTCGCTTTGTGACGATGTCCACTGAAGACCCAAAACACCGCCTCGGACGTCCATTTCACTGGCGGCTCTTAAAATATTGAGAGTTGTTGTTACTGTTGTTGTTGCTAAGCCCGAATCCCAACAAAAATGCCTCATTATTTTTGGTTTGCTGACCGCGCCCCCCACCCCAATATCACCACAACCACCCAATCACCACCCAATCACCACAACCACCACCACCGCATCACCACAACCACCACCACAACCACCACGATCACCATCACCCCCCACCATCACCACCCCACCATCACCACCCCACCATCACCACCCCACCATCACCACCACCTCCCCACCACCGAGACGCTCAAACACCATCATTAACCACGGCACCACAAGTAAACCTTCAAGAGGAGCCGTCGCCCTCCCCCCCACCCCCCACGTCTTCGCTGTCAAAAGCGCGGCCCTCCGAAGCTCACCGGGCTCGAGGTCCAGGGGAGCGCGCGACAATGCAGGGCGAGTTCCCGGCGAGTTCCCGCTAGTCGGGTAAGGGTAATTATGTTTGTTTGTTAAGCCATTAAAGACCGCGAGCTCCCACAAGTTGCCGCTCTCTTTAAATCACCGCTGTTGTCGTTGACGACTCTCACGTGACCCTTGACCCCTGACCGCCGCGCGCGCTGCTGCTGCTGCTGGGACGAAGCTATCCACTTCCGTGTTAGCGGGGATCGTCGTCGGTCACGTAGCAGTGCGAGAGCGCTCTTAAGTACAGATCGTCATCGGCCACGTAGCAGTGCGAGAGCGCTCTTAATTAGAGAGTGTGATCGGCGACGTAGCAGTGCGGGACGCGCTTAAGTAGAGATCGTCATCGGCAACGTAGCAGTGCGAGAGCGCTCTTAAGTAGAGATCGTGATCGGCAACGTAGCAGTGCGAGAGCGCTCTTAAGTAGAGATCGTGATCGGCGACGTAGCAGTGCGAGAGCGCTCTTAAGTAGAGATCGTGATCGGCGACGTAGCAGTGCGAGGCGCTCTTAAGTAGAGATCGTGATCGGCCACGTAGCAGTGCGAGAGCGCTCTTAATTAGAGATTGTGATCGGCGACGTAGCAGTGCTAGTGCGCTCTTAAGTAGAGATCGTAATCGGCAACGTAGCAGTGCGAGAGCGCTCTTAAGTAGAGATCGTGATCGGCAACGTAGCAGTGCGAGAGCGCTCTTAAGTAGAGATTGTGATCGGCGACGTAGCAGTGCGAGGGCGCTCTTAAGTAGAGATCGTAATCGGCCACGTAGCAGTGCGAGAGCGCTCTTAAGTAGAGATCGTCATCGGCAACGTAGCAGTGCGAGAGCGCTCTTAAGTAGAGGTCGTGATCGGCAACGTAGCAGTGCGAGAGCGCTCTTAAGTAGAAATCTTGATCGGCGACGTAGCAGTGCGAGAGTGTTCTTAAGTAGAGATCGTAATCGGCAACGTAGCAGTGCGAGAGCGCTCTTAATTAGAGATCGCGATCGGCAACGTAGCAGTGCGAGTGCGCTCTTATGTGAGATCGTGATCGCCAACGTAGCAGTGCGAGAGCGCTCCTAAGTAGTGATCGCGAGCGGCCACGTAGCAGTGCGAGAGCGCTCTTAAGTAGAGATCGTCATCGGCAACGTAGCAGTGCGAGAGCGCTCTTAAGTAGAGATCGTAATCGGCAACGTAGCAGTGCGAGAGCGCTCTTAATTAGAGATCGTGATCGGCAACGTAGCAGTGCGAGAGCGCTCTTACGTGAGATCGTGATCGCCAACGTAGCAGTGCGAGCGCGCTCCTAAGTAGTGATCGCGAGCGGCCACGTAGCAGTGCGAGAGCGCTCTTAAATAGAGATCGTCATCGGCAACGTAGCAGTGCGAGAGCGCTCTGAAGTAGAGATCGTGATCGGCCACGTAGAAGTGCAAAAACGGTCTTAACGAGAGGTCATCATCGATAGAATATTAATGCGAGAGCGCTAATTATTATCCGTGTAAAAAGCGCTCTCGCACTGCCATTGTTTGCGATGCCGACCTTTGGGGCCGTCCATAAATGACGTCACGCGATTTTGGACGATTTTCACCCCCCCCCCATAGTCACACGGTGCCACAAAAAGTCAGACCCCCCCTCAAATATGACGTCACAAAGCTCTGCCCCCCCCCCCTCAAAATCAAACATGCTTCAAATCGCATTAAACTATTGTCATTGTAGTGCGTATTTAATGTGGCGCTGCACTCTGATGTTGTAGGAGAAAACATTTATTAAGAAATATTATTAATAAAATAGAACGTGTTGTCTATATTTATTTAAAGTTGCGCATTTTGATGTGACGTCACATTTCTCAAACCTCCCCCCCCCCTCGTCACACATCGTCACAAATGTCTGACCCCCCCCCCCCCCCCTAGGTGCGTCACGTCATTTATGCACCTCCTCCTTTATAGACGAGCGCTCTTACAAGTGCTATGTTGCCGATGACGATCTCTGAGAGCGCTCATATACAGAGAGCGCTCATATACAGAAATCGTCATCGGCGACACAGCAATGCGAGGGCGCTACTTACGGAGAGATCCTCATGGGCAACGTTGGAATGCGAGGGCGCACAAGAGACTATTCGTAATTGCTATGTTGCCGATGACGATCTCTGTTTTGCGAGCGCTCTCAGAGATCGTCATCGACAACATATCAATGTGAGAGCGTTCCTACAGTAAGGGAAGAAAGTATTTGATCCCCTGCTGATTTTGTACGTTTGCCCACTGACAAATAAATGATCAGCCTATAATTTTAATGGTAGGTTTATTTGAACAGTGAGAGACAGAATAACCACAAAAAAATCCAGAAAAACGCATGTCAAAAATGTTATAAATTGATTTACATTTTAATGAGGGAAATAATAATTTGACCCCCTCTCAATCAGAAAGATTTCTGGCTCCCAGGTGTCTTTTATACAGGTAACGAGCTGAGATTAGGAGCACACTCTTAAAGGGAGTGCTCCTAATCTCAGCTTGTTACCTGTGTAGTGGTTGAACTTTACACGAGCAACTTTTGTCTTTCTCCAACCACTTCTTTATTTTCATCGTTTAAACACGTCCTCCACACTCCACCGTATTCTGGACACCGCGGCTCGCTCGCCGTGCTTCGCCCGTCTCGCTCACCACCTTGGTTCCCAGTATCACGTCGCTCTGCTCCGCACACACGTCTCCAACTCTATTCCTACGCTCTCTCCACTGCTGGCTATCCTCCTCAGCTCCTCCGCTATACAGCGTCGTCGCACACAGCGAAACCCAATCTCACTTCTCTGTCTCCACACACCTCGTCTCCAGCTCCTCTATTACTACGCTCTCTCCACTGCTAACTGCTCCGTCTTCAGCTTCGCTATCACTATGCTCACTCCACTGCTAACTGCTTCGTCTTCAGCTTCGCTATCACTATGCTCCAACTCTCTTCTAAACTCTGTTTCCGAACTCCACGTCTTTACTGCACAGCTCCCAACTCCAAAACTCTCCCTCTCTCTCTCTCTCCCCCCAATTTATCCCCATTCTCATTATTGCTAATTAATTGGTCCGCGTGCCTCAGCAAGCCTCGCGTCTTCAATCACCTCCCTTTTCCAGACACCTCGACGCCTCCTCGGCCCCAGCAACAGCACCAACCAATCATAGCCCTTCTGGCTTAATTGGCCCGACCGTTACCTCATCACCCCAGCCTCTTCACCTGGCTGTCCTAACACGACCCCACTGTTTCCGCCGTCTCCTCAGGCTGACCCCAGATAAACCCCACACTGTCCGTGTGATCAATACACTCACGCAGTTTCCCCAGCACACCTTCCTACTCCACTACACCTGTATAAAAGACACCTGTCCACAGAAGCAGTCAATCAATCAGATTCCAAACTCTCCACCATGGCCAAGACCAAAGAGCTCTCCAAGGGTGTCTGGGACAAGATTGTAGACCTACACAAGGCTGGAATGGGCTACACGACCATTGCCAAGCAGCTTGGTGAGAAGGTGACAACAGTTGGTGCGATTATTCGCAAATGGAAGAAACACAAAAGAACTGTCAATCTACCTCGGCCTGGGGCTCCATGCAAGATCTCACCTCGTGGAGTTGCAATGATCATAAGAACGGTGAGGAATCAGCCCAGAACTACACGGGAGGATCTTGTCAATGACCTCAAGGCAGCTGGGACCATAGTCACCAAGAAAACAATTGGTAACATACTACGCCGTGAAGGACTGAAATCCTGCAGCGCCCGCAAGGTCCCCCTGCTCAAGAAAGCACATATACATGCCCGTCTGAAGTTTGCCAATGAACATCTGAATGATTCAGAGGACAAATGGGTGAAAGTGTTGTGGTCAGATGAGACCAAAATGGAGCTCTTTGGCATCAACTTAACTCGCCGTGTTTGGAGGAGGAGGAATGCTGCCTATGACCCCAAGAACATCATCCCCACCGTCAAACATGGAGGTGGAAACATTATGCTTTGGGGGTGTTTTTCTGTTAAAGGGGACAGGACAACTTCATCGCATCAAAGGGACGATGGACGGGGCCATGTACCGTCAAATCTTGAGTGAGAACCTCCTTCCCTCAGCCAGGGCATTGAAAATGGGTCGTGGATGGGTATTCCAGCATGACAATGACAAAAAACACATGGCCAAGGCAACAAAGGAGTGGCTCAAGAAGAAGCACATTAAGGTCCTGGAGTGGCCTCGCCAGTCTCCAGACCTTAATCCCATAGAAAATCTATGGAGGGAGCTGAAGGTTCGAGTTGCCAAACGTCAGTCTCGAAACCCTAATGACTTGGAGAAGATCTGCAAAGAGGAGTGGGACAAAATCCCTCCTGAGATGTGTGCAAACCTGGTGGCCAACTACAAGAAACGTCTGACCTCTGTGATTGCCAACAAGGGTTTTGCCACCAAGTCATGTTTTGCAGAGGGGTCAAATACTTATTTCCCTCATTAAAATGCAAATAAATTTATAACATTTTTGACATGCGTTTTTTTAATTTTTGTTATAATTCTGTCTCTCACTGTTCAAATAAACCTACCATTAAAATTATAGACTGATCATTTCCTTTTTCTTGGTTCTTTTGGTAAAGTCACGTTGAAGGGAAACAATAAAATAATAAAATATATATAAAACAATAAAATTCTCACGACGTTTCGTGACTTTACCGAAAGAACCAAGAATATGAATCACTGCAGTCACAAAAGCTTTAAATCAAAATTTTATCATTTCCTTGTCAGTGGGCAAACGTACAAAATCAGCAGGGGATCAAATACTTTTTCCCTCACTGTATGTAGAGATCGTCGTTGACAACATAGCATTGTGAGAGCGTCCCTATGTAGAGATCGTCGATGACAACTTAGCATTGTGAGAGTGTTCCTATGTAGAGATCGTCGATGACAACATAGCATTGTGAGAGCGTTCCTATGTAGAGATCGTCGATGACAACATAGCATTGTGAGAGCGTTCCTATGTAGAGATCGTCGATGACAACATAGCATTGTGAGAGCGTTCCTATGTAGAGATCGTCGATGACAACATAGCATTGTGAGAGCGTTCCTATGTAGAGATCGCTCGTTGTCAACATAGCATTGTGAGAGCGTTCCTATGTAGAGATCGTCGATGAC